AGCTAACCGTCTTCTCAGGTTTGCCCGGAAACATGTGAATTTCTTTTGACCGTTCCGTCCAGCAGAACCTCTAGATTCAGAATATTGTAAATTTTACTGTGCAATTTGCCTTAGTTGAAGTGATGTAGGCATTTTATTAATAATATCTCGGGTGCTAACTTCAATGCTACCGTAAGCTCTTCTCATTCATTCCAGCCACATCACCCATTCACTCTCCTTCTTTTTCAACGATTCCGTACTCCATTAATTACTTATCATCACAACTTCCACTTATTCAGGTTTTCAACCCGATTGATTTCCAGTGGGTGTTTTGGCAGTTCAAGATCGAGCTAGATGATGTGACTGAAACTAAGGGAAGTGTTTATCGCCTTCATATTTTCCGATATTTTACATATTTCTCGATACGTGCCCCAATTTGTTTGATTTTTTGTGATTCTCGCCAATATTTTGTCTATTCTGCATTATATTACCTTCATATTTTTCGATATTTTTTACACGTTTTCGTTCCACTGATGATTTCGGCATCTTGAGGTATGCAACGTCCAGATGTGTTGTAATTTCTAATCATTTGCTGTGTTGTGTTTCGANATTTCGGCATCTTGAGGTATGCAACGTCCAGATGTGTTGTAATTTCTAATCATTTGCTGTGTTGTGTTTCGACTCATTCCAATCATGTCATCTCATTTGTTAATAATGATAATGAAACCTATCAAAATTGTGATGGCTGATTCTAGTGATTCACGAAACACTATTCAACTTATGCGAATGACGCTCCTTGATATTTGGTTAAGTCTGTTTGGTTGATGAGTTATTATATGAACATGTTAGTCATCAGTTGTTTACGCATAAAATGTACAACTTTATTAATTCAGAAACGATATAGTTCACAAATGAGACACACTTAAACTTTCACTGTCAATTTACAAGTGATGCAAGTAAATTGTCAAATTAGAAACAAATATGGATGGACGAATGAATGAATGTAGATAAATAAAAATGAAATATATCCGGAAAATTCAATGATGGTTCGATGAGGTGATTATTTTTTGAACAACGTTCTTCTCGACACGGCTCATTATCAACAATATCGTGGAACACACTTCTCAAAGCCACACGACACTTCTAAAACGTTTCCGGATCGATCAACACCGATCACATCATCACGAAAACAGAAGATTACAAATGTCATAATGGCTTGTTTCACTCGTGTTCCATTCACTATAACTATTATCCTCAAGATGATTGTTTCATCGATTCACACAACAGTTGCACAATTTCGGCTATGGCTGTTGGTCAATGCGAACCTCAGAGCATTTTTTAAAGGTTTCTTATGATTGGTTACAATTGCGTACAGTCGTCATCGACTCTGCGACCGATCAATGCTCATCAGACAAAATTGAAAGCAATCGAACAATAAAATTTGATTAATGAGAATAGAATATGAAACGAACATTAATTTACAAATACAAACAACAGAGGAGAAATGAATGAAAAACAACGATAAGCAATAAACAACTTTTTACATTCTCTTCCACAATATATAAGCACNAACGAATCCAGTAAATATGATATAATAATTAAATACAGACAATGCAATGAAAAATTACCGACGTTAACAAAACAGCTAAAGAATGTAAATCTCAATTATGAGTTTTGCCTGCCCAGAAACTGAACAATTTTGCAATAATGAAGTATACTGATCGTTAAAAGTAACTAAAAAAATTTTAAAAAACGATAATTCTATTTGCAAATCACACCGAGACAAATATACAGTGACCGAGTATGACCATAATCATGAACATATCCACCATAACAACGGCAATGATAACAATGCTTAGAGCAATCGAAGTAATCTGTGCTCTGGTCATTATTACCGTTAATTGATATTATACACGCGAACACACCTTACAGTTATAACAGCATCACCACCATTCAAATACCACAATAATATGACAGCAAGTCTCCGACTGTAATTTAATATATGAAAATGAAACTTTTCAATAATAACCCTCTCAGGATTCCCCTACACACGAACACAATTCATCTGCTTTAAATCACTTTGAAATTCCAGTTTCTACCACAAAATTCCATACAAATACAATTTCAAAAGCGTACAATACCACCAAAAATTCATAATATCCAAATGACTAAATCTGTTCAAACGAAGCAAATCTTAGAAAATTCAAATCAAAAGTTGACAACTGAATGTAACAAAAACAATTATAATAATATAACACACATACAGATACAAACATCAAACTCATATCATATCAGTCAATCAATTGATTATCCATCTACGATAAATTCATTCATGATAAATATCAGTAAAAGAAACAACTAAGATGTAGTTTGCAATTTGATATCGAATGAATTTGCAAGTCGATCAACTGCTATTCGTACATTCATCGCTGTCAATCGATTCGACGGTGATTCTGCCCAACATTCGGTCATCATTCTCTCGATATCGCTCATCATCTAAATTCAATACGTAATTCATTTCGTTCAACTACAATACACACTGAATGGTTCACTTTTTATACGCAATCAGTTAGTAAAACTCGAGTGATCCCTTCCAATCTTGTCACTGTAAAGTGAAGAAATACACCCCACATCAAATATTTGTTTTCAATAACATTCGAAACTTTTAATCGAAGATAATCGGTTCACCTTATCGCTTTTCCACATATCACACAGAGTGGGTCGGTGTTTCTGCACACAAACGCATTCACGCATCTCTTCAATTGACGGATCACGAGTGACCCACTCCGAATAGGGTGGTTCGTAGTTCTGTATGGGTTCTGAAATCATTACTTACACTCATCGATTCGAATGATTCATGAATATGAGCACTCATTACAAACACTTACACTCA